GGGAGAGAGAGCCAGCACATGCATGAGCGGAGGAGGGGCATTCGAGAGAGGGAGGGAGAGAAGATCCCAAGCGGGTTCTGTACTGTCAGCACAGAGCCTCACATGGGGCTCAATCTCACAAACTGTGAGATCATGACCTGAGCTAAAATCCAGAGTCAGAAGCTCAAATGACTGAGCCCCCTAGGCACCCCAGGACCTATTACATTTTTTTTTTAATGTTTTATTTATTTTTGAGCGAGAAAGAGCACAAACAGGGGAGGGGCAGAAAGAGAGGGAGACAGGGTATCCAAAGGGGGCTCTGCACTGACAGCAGTGAGCCAGATGTGAAGCTCGAACTCATAAACCATGAAATCATGACCTGACCTGAAGTTGGATGCTCAACCAACCGAGCCACCCAAGCACCCTAGGGCCTATTATATTTTTTAACGCTTATTTCCCACAATGAACTACAACTTACTCAAGGGCTAATAATATTAAATTAATGGATAGAAATTCTATCAGTTTACTAACAACTTCCTGACCTAGAAAGATATGAATGTACGATCTCAACGCCAGGTCACCAAACACCCAGGAAGGGGGATTTCCCTTTCATTTCCAGGGAACCTGGGCTTTCTGTCACAAACAACCAAGCTTACTTTTATCCAAATGTGGCCACTGATATGTTTATGTCAATTGATGATAAGGTCACAATAAGTGTGGTGGAGTACATAGGGCATGGTTCTCAACCACGGATGATTCACCACAGATGATTATGACCCCAAGAGTTGGCAATATCTGCAAACATTTTTGGTTGTCACTACCGGGGGAAGAGGGTTATTGCCATCTAGTGGGTAGAGGCTAGCGATACTGCTAACACCCTCAATGTACAGGACGGCCCCCAACACACACAAAAAAATTATCAGTCCAAAAAGTCAAAAGTACAAAGATTGAAATACCCCTATACGAAGAAAGAGGTTTTCTGATTTGTTTTCATAGGATTGGAAATTCTTTTTTTGTTTGTTTGTTTGTTTGTTTGTTTTACTTTAGAGAGAGAGACAGCATGAGCAGGTGAGACGGTCAGAGAAGAGAGAGAATTTTAAGCAGGCTCCACACTCATTGAGAGCCCAATGCAGGGCTCAGTCTTACAACTGTGAGATCATGACCTGAGCCAAAATCAAGAGTCAGATGCTTAACCGATTAAGCCACATAGATGCCCCTAGGATTGGAAATTCTTATAAGCTTTTTAGTAATATTAAGGTTAAAATATACACACTTTTGATCCAACCTTCACTGCTAGGAATGGATCACATGGATGATAGTTGAATAAACATGAAAAAATAAATGTACACATACAAAGATGTTTCCTGAAACTATTTTTATATTAATAAATAGTGGCCACAACTTATACAATAGAAAATGGTTAAATAAAAATAAAAATGGTACATCTATGAAATAAAATACTAAATAGCCATCAAAAATAATACAAATCTTCATGTACTAAATAAAAAAATGAGAAAGCTTAATGTTAATATTTTTAAAAAGGAAAAGTTACAGAGCAGTGTGTATAATGATACAGTTTTTGCAAGCAAGTTATACATACGCATGTACCCACACACACATTTTTAGCATTCACATGTATTCACATAGAAAAACATTCTGGAGTCATGCTCACCAAATAATCTAGGGGGTGGGATTACATTGTGCTTTTACATTCTATAGTATATATTTTGTTATCTTTGACACTTTTAAATGTTTATTTATTTTTCAGAGAGAGAGTGCAAGCGGAGGAGGGGCAGAGAGAGAGGGAGATAGAGGATCCGAAGTGGGCTCTGTGCTGACAGCAGAGTGTCCGATTTGGGGCTCAAACCTACAAACTGGAAGCTCATGACCTGAGCCATAGTCAGATGCTTGACCAAATGAGCTACCCAGGCACCCCTCTTTGACACTTTTAATTGTTATTTTTTACATCTGTATTACTTACAGTAAAAATAAATCTTAAAAGAAAAAAAGTAGTGACTCTTTACCAATTACACAGCATGTTTCCACACGATATTTATCAATCTCACAGAGGTTGTGAGCCAGGTAACTCAACTCTGATTTCATGCTCTAGAAGAAAACGGAAAGACAATCTAAGCATGAGTTAAGGAACCCCCTAGCTAATGCAACTTGTGACAATCCAACCCAAGAGATTAAAGCACAAAAGAGCTTGATCAATTCTAAGCAAAGGAAGCAGCTCACCCTGACATAAAGAAGGTTGGAGAATGTGTCCATATTTTCAATCCTGTATGGGTCTTGTTTCCTTAGTTCATTAAAAATAGAGAGGGCTTTGTCAATATCTGCAGGAAAAAAAGGTAAGAAAGTTTAGAAAACAACATAGTGCTACATTCAGGATTTGATGGTATTTCATTGTCCTTATTCACTCACCTCTGATATTGTGATAGGCAACTGCAATTTGGGAAACAATATATGAGCTCTTAGAGAAGCCCACATCAATGAGATTCTGATATTTTTGCAGGGCCTCCTCTATCAACTGCAACTCTGTGTATATATGAGCCAGAAAAAACTCTTTCATCCAGGTGTCTGGCAAAGACAGGAACTTCAGCTGCCAGCAGGAGAGAGAGGGACACACTTAATATACTTTGACCTCTCTCTCAAATGAACATCAAGGAACTGTCTTTTTGTCTAAAGAAATTTATCACCAAAACTTTAGGAGAGCACATAACAAACAGAGGGCAGTTCAATTAAGTGAACAGGACTTACAAGCACAATAGGGAGGAATGACCAAATTAAGGAAGACTTCAGAGAAAAGCCTAGTATTTCAGGTGAATCTTATAGGATAGGTAGAACTTGAAAAGAAAAAAAGAGAGAGGAAGAAGAAAAAAAGATAACACTCTAGGCAGGGCAACAACATCAATAGAGGCAAAACAATCCTGAGTGTGACTGAATAGGATGAGGAAACTAGCTTAGTTTGAGAGGAGGCTATGTGTTCAAAAATAGTGAAAAAAATAAGACTGAATGGGTAGGGCAGGTCCTATGGCAAAACAGGAAGTGGGATCCAATAGGAAACCAATGAAATTTTTGGCAAGAGAACGACACAATGACATGGGTGTTTTAAGAGTAAGTGTGAAAACAGTATGCACGATAGCATAGGAATGGGAGTGTACAAATGGAAAAACTAGGTAGAAAAGTAACTATTACTTATAAGTAATCCAAATCTGAGATGAAAACCAAGATGGCAAAGAAAACCAAAAGAGATGCATGCAAGAAGGAGACCATGGCAATGTCTGGTGACTGACTAGATAAAAGGAGATAAGAGAAAGAGAAGAACAAATCTACTGATGAGGCATCAAGACTGGGTATCTTGAGAAATAGTGATGGTATCAAGGGAGTCTATCAAGCTGGGAGGAAGAAAGAATTTGGTAGGCAAGATCAGAAACTTGGTTTTGCATATTTTGAGTTCAGAGAAAAAACAAACTTTTAATGAAAGTCTATTAGGCAGTTAGAGATAATAAATAGGAGTTAAGTCAAGATAAGACTTCAGACCCAGATTTAGTAGCACGTATCATTATTGGGGGAAATCGACCAGCCTTCAGTTCTTTAGAGCCAACAAAAGCAAGTGTATTATCAATTCCATTAACTACTGCAGAATGGCAAAATAAACTCTATAGACAATGTCCTATAATAACAATTAATAAAATGATTGCAGTTTATAAAGCAATTTCATATACTTTCATTCATTAAATAACAAATTTCTAAATCTCTACAAAGTCCTAGGACAGCTCAGCGGAGACCTTAAAAATGTTTTTAATACAGGGGCGCCTGGGTGGCGCAGTCGGTTAAGCGTCCGACTTCAACCAGGTCACGATCTCGCGGTCCGTGAGTTCGAGCCCCGCGTCAGGCTCTGGGCTGATGGCTCGGAGCCTGGAGCCTGTTTCCGATTCTGTGTCTCCCCCTCTCTCTGCCACCCCCCCTCCCGTTCATGCTCTGTCTCTCTCTGTCCCAAAAATAAATAAACGTTGAAAAAAAAAAAAGTTTTTAATACAATCCTTGATATCAGAGAAACCTTTCCTATGGCATCTTTGGAATGAGGAAAAAAAAGTATAATAGCATTTAGTCTATAAAGCAAGTCACAGTAAAATGTGAATGTGAATCATGAAATAATGAAAAGATATTTTAACATAACTAGACACATATCCGACAGCAACCACCAAACAAGAGCCAGACATGAGTCTTTCAAACAAAGACCGAAATTCCAGCAATGAAAGAGACTAGAGAAGAAGCAAAGATGTAACTACAAAGGTTTAGCAAACCTCTCTCTTCCCAGCCCATTACAGAATTACATTAAGACTTGGAGCAGAGGGTCTTTCACATAGCTCCTCTCAATTTACCATCTCTTTGTCCGTAATTAAATTACAGAGTTCTAGCCAGGCTCCCCAGTGCAAAGGCAAAACATGAGTAGCCTCCACAAACACATCAATAGCCTCTTTCACCAGGTCCAGTTTTCGAAGCACCACACCATATCTAGGAAAGAGACAATCACAGAAGTTAATGTTTCATAACACATCCCTTCCAGTCTGGAGAAAATGTTATAGAAGGATCGAAATTACTCTACCACTTACAGATAAAGGCCAAATCCATCAAGTTCCCGAGCCTGGTGTTTTTTGCTAAGTTCCACTCTCAATTCTCTAAGTGCCTCATTTTTAACTTGTCCTTTCTCCAGGGGACCTAGGAAAGGAACCAAATCTCAGATCTAAGGAAAGACTGCCAATCTTCATTTCACGGACCTAGACATTCCCCTTGACATCAACCAAAGTTACACCTGGAACTTCCAGCAAATACTCAGAAGTGGCCAACAATACCTTACACAATCCACTTTATTCCAGAAATTACCACTGATAACTGGTCTACAGTCATATTTTGCTAGGCCCACAAAGGTTTTTAAAACTTTAAAATAATAATCAGTGTTTAAAAAGCAGAAGTCTCAACTAAAAAGCTGAATTTCCAGTTTCAGTTCCCAAAGAATGAGGTAGGGCCAAGGGAAGAAAGCCTTGACTACACTAGGCCCACATTTCCTCAAGAGAGCTGTCAGCAGGGCTGGGTAACAAGCAGGTTACAAGTTACCAAGTTGTGCTCCCCAATTTGCAACAGTCCTCCTAAGTCTACTTCACACCTTTATATTACCTGCCTGGCTCATATTGGCATTTGATTATGCAACCCCTGCTTTCATCCAAAAGGTAAGATAAAGAGATCCATACCTAGACTATCAACTGTTTCATCATCCTTCTTCTTTTCTCCAGACTGTAAGAGAAAAATCAACAAATTGGTCTTTTCTCAGTTTATTTTGAAACTCATTCTAAAACTAGCAGTCTGGTGGCGCCTGGGTGGCTCAGTCAGTTAAGCAACTGACTTCGGCTCAGGTCAAGATCTTGCCGTTTGTGGGTTCGGGCCCCGCGTTGGGCTCTGTGCTGACAGCCCAGAGCCTGGAGCCTGCTTCAGATTCTGTGTCTCCCTCTCTCTCTGTTCTTCCCCTGCTCATTCTCTGTCTCTCTCTGTCTCTCAAAAATAAATAAAAACATTAAAAAAAATTAAAATAAAATAAATTAAAATAAAATAAAACAAAACAAAACAAAA